AGCTCATCAGCTACTGTCTACCTGCTCTTCTTGCACCAGGCCTGTCTGTAGGAGTGGATTTTGCTGGTTCCCACTCTCCTCTCTCCCTCCTCAGATGTGGCTGTATGGTCTTTGCCTGGTTGGCGGGGGGCTTTCCCTGCTCTACGCGCTGTCCCGCTGGCTGATCCCAGCCCTGGCGCAGTACAACGGGTCGCTGGCGTTGCTCTGGAACGACACTATCCTGGAGCGGGCGCTGGACCTGCTGACCCGCTCGTCCCGGCCTCAGCGCATGCTGGCGCACGTGAAGCGTCACGCCGCGAGGGGGGACCCCCAGAGCGTCATCGACGCCATCGACTACTTCTGCCGGCACAAGGAGTGGGCCATGAACGTGGGCGACGAGAAGGGTGAGCGCCCGGACCCGTCTCCCCGAACTGCTCCGATCCCCCCGTCCCCGGGGCGGAGGAGGTCCCACCGTGGCTCACTCGGTACCAGCGCGGGCCCGAGAGCGAGCGGAGCTCTGCCATCGCGGGTTCGAGCTGCGGTCGTGTCATTAGCTGACCGTGACCGGGCTAGGGTGGGGCCAGCCAACTAGGGCTCTCTTGGCTCACAGAAGCACAGCGCCCCCTTCAGCCTCCCAGGATGTGCTGCCTGTGACATGTCAAAAGGTGATTGGCTGAAAGGTGGGTGGGAGGAGGAGCCTGTCCTCACTCTCCCCTGTGTGCGGTGGCGGGGTTTGTTTTGGTGAACTGAGACATGAAAAACACAGAGCTGGTGGGTGCCAAATTCTGGGGATATAACAAAAATAATTGGGAATTCAACATTTATTTAAAAACATGAAAAAACACATAGAAAGATCCACAAGCAGATCACTTCAGCTCAGCTTTGTCCCCTGCTTTGGGATTAAGCTTAAACCTCTTTAGGACAGAGATTTCCAGTCCTGGCTCTGGGGACACCAGATCCACAACCTCACAGTTTTAGTTTCCTTGATTGAACTACAGTAATGAGGTGCTTGATAGGAACCCTTGCTGTAATATTTTTGGTAACATAATAAGGAACAAAAGTAGTTAAAAATGCAACATCCAACATGATTAGGAACAATATCCTAAATGAATCCTATTATTAGATCAATCAAGGTTTAGTTATGTAACTGAGAGATCAGCTTGACATAAAAAGTGTCGTGGGTCACCAGAAACACGGTTGAGAACCCCAATATAGGATACCTATACTTGGATTGCATCATATCCAGTGGGAGATGTACATCTTTGAACTTTGCTCTAGCCTGAGTTGTGCAAACATGGTAAGTTTTACAAATTGTACAAGTCGAACAGAGAAACATTGTAGAGCCAGGAACGGGCTCCCCCTGGTGGTCAGTCTGTGCTCCGCAGTGCCCCACGTCTGTCGGCCTGCAAACCGGTTTCCCAGGAAACTGAAAGAGCTGTTCTGGGGCAGAAAATGTCATGGAGTTAAAATGACCTCTTCCTGATGTCTGTTCCAGCTTTCCCACTGCCTTATTGTTGCACTTTTCTGTATTGCATGCTTGCCACGTCTGAAAGTTGTTGCTAAGACTTTATTTTATTTTTTTTATTTACTAGCTGCACTGACAAGGCCTCGCGTTAGTCAAACTACTGCAGTGCTGTAGTGACAACCTGTGCTCCAGGCCTGGAGCAATCCCTGGGCTGAGACTGGCCACGCAGGATGATCTTATTTTTAACTGGTTAATGATGCCCGTGTCACCCCCAGTCACCTCTCCAGCGTGATCTCAGCAGAAAAATCAGACCGTTCAGCGTGTCCTCGTGGGCAGGTCAGATTGTCCTAGAACCCACACCTGGCAAAACCCCACTCAAACGGGGGAGGGACACATGCAGACTCCTCACAGACAGACACAAGCAGCAGATGTCGAACCCAGGGCCCTGTGACTAACCGCCATCCTGCCTTCAGCCTGTAACTCCTGCACCCTCCACCTCCTTCAGCAGACGCCCTCCCTGCTGCTCTTCCTGAGCCTCTGCTTTCACCTGCAGACAGCCCCCCCATCCCTCCTCCCCCCCCCTCTGCCCCGAGGTCTCGTCAGCCGATTCTGCCCTCAATAGGAAGTGAAGGGCTCCTGAAGTCTGCAGGGCCAATCAGACCTCCGCTTGACTGCACCCACACGCGCCGAGACACACACACACACACACACACACGTGCGCGCCGCGTTACCCGAGTAACTGCGGAGTGGCTGCAGACACACACACGCACGCAGGACTGACCTCAGGACCCCTGTGTGTGCGTGTCCGCTCCCCCAGGCACCATCCTGGACTCGGTGGTGTGTGAAGTGAGCCCAGGAGCCGTGCTGGAGCTGGGCACTTACTGCGGCTACTCCACCATGCGGATCGCCCGGCTGCTGGCCCCCGGCGCCCGCCTGATCACCCTGGAGTTCAACCCCGCCAACGCCGCCGTGGCCCGCCAGGTCATCGCCTGGGCTGGCCTGGAGCACAAGGTAGCACACGCCGCCCAGCGGGGTTTGTCGGATTCCCCATGCAGGAGAGCAGGACCACACAACTGCAATAACAGCTACTGCTTCTGTTCATGAGCCCAGACTGGACTGCTCCAGAAACCAGAAGAGCCTGTAGCACTGCAGAACCAGGGCAGGGACTGCAGATACGGGCATTCAGACTTATATACAGTAGTGTTTTACAATGTATGCTGCAGTGAACCCAGCTATGTGAAAGGTAACTTCCCCCCAAAAATATTGGGAGTTTCTCAATTTCCCTCCAGTACTTCGATAGCTGTGGTATACAAACGTCAGCATTCCACATTAACATCTACGTGAGGGCCTATATTCTTGATGCACAGGCCTGAACTTTAGAGACACTGCTGTGTAGGTGTCTGCTCCACTCTGGGTTCTGTGTTGTCTTACAAATGATCTGTCAAGGAGGCTCATCTTAACACGACTGGGGTCTGTGGCACAGGTATCGAGCTCACACTCGTTTTATATTCTAGGCTGAACGATGGTGCGGGTGTTGTTTTATCTGTGCATGGGTCACGTGCTCTGGGAGAGCTGCTGGCAGGTCGGGTCATTGGCCAGTCTGGCCGAAGCCTCGTCCGCCCACAGCTCACTTACTTACCTTGCTCCAGATCAGAAATGTGCTTTGCAGGCAGGAAACAACTGGAATCCGTTAACAAATAAAGAGACATATTCGTATGATGAAAAAGAAAGTAATAAATATATATACAGTAAAATACAGAATCAGTTGTGCAAAGTGAGCAGGTCAGTTGCTGTGGTCCCCCTGAAGGTGTTTGCACGGTGCTGGCCGTCTGGCAGCAGGGGGACGGTCTTGTGCCGCCGGGCTGAGTGATGGACACTGGCTGTCGTCCAGGTGCAGCTGGTGGAGGGCTCCTCAGGTGACCTGATCCCGCAGATGCGAGAGAAGTTTGGGATCGACAGCTTCGACTTAGTCTTCCTGGACCACTGGAAAGACTGGTACCTGCCTGATACCAGACTGATGGAGGTACGTCAGCCCCCTGCACGGCGCAACGCACTTCGGTCAGCACCACTGACCACTCCACTGGACAACAGCCACACTAGACTTCAGTCAGAACTACTGACCACTCTGCTGGACTACACTCACACCAGACTTCAGTCAGAACCACTGACCAACCCACTGGACAACACTCACACCAGACTTCAGTCAGCACCACTGACCACCCCACTGGACAACAGCCACACTAGACTTCAGTTAGCACCACTGACCACCCCACTGGACAACAGCCACACTAGACTTCAGTTAGCACCACTGACCAACCCACTGGACAACAGCCACACTAGACTTCAGTCAGAGCTACGGGCCGCCCAACTGGACAACACTCACACCAGACTTCAGTCAGAACTGACCACTCTGCTGGACACAGCTCACACCAGACTTCGGTCCAAACCACTGACCACCCCACTGGACAACAGTCACACCAGACTTCAGTCAGAACCACTGACCGCCCCACTGGACAACACTCACACCAGACTTCAGTCAGAACCACTGACCACCCCACTGGTCAACACTCACACCAGACTTCAGTCAGAACTGACCGCTCTGCTGGACACAGCTCACACCAGACTTC